TCAAAATTAAAAGTAAAAAAAAGAATTAAAATGAACCAGCTGAATTTGTTTTAAACTTACTATCAAAACCTAAATGAAAAGGAAGTGGGAAACAAATCTACATTCCTTCGTATTTCTGAGTTAGCCATAGTGCTGAACATTTTACAAAGGTTATTCTACAGAATACAAAGAATTCCTGCTTTGAGTCAAACAGGTTAGTAGTTCAACTCTATGATTTTGTAGCTGGGTGACTTTAGGTTATTCTTTTCATCTTTCTGAGTCTCAGTGTCCTCCTCTATAAAATGGAGATAACAATACAAACATCATAGGATGACTGAGAGGAGTAAACGAGATGATAATATCAAGTATGTACATTTTATGAGCATACCACCACACTAAGTGTTGGGAGACAAATCTCTACGGGACCCTTAGTTTCTGCCTGTCTTGTAAGGCAGAAACTGCCTTTATTTCTGGACTGTCTTTTCAAGGATGTTTGTATAGTCAACAGATTTGTAAGACAGAAATAGTGTCCCACTCCAGAGCAAAGGGGAACATGCTTATTGCCCATTATAAAAGACTCAGGGTTCCTCTCCTATGCTGACACAAAATAACCAGTAACCATTCTATAAATAAGAGAGACAAGGTGAGTTTTATTCGTGCCAGGGTGAGGATTATAACCCGGGAAGGCAGTTTTCACAAAGAAAGAAAGCATTCTAGAGAAGCATGGTTTTCAGTACAGTCTTATACCTTTTTAGAACAAAGAACATACATTAAACACACCCAGGATACACATTCATCATAGTTTCAAAGAGGTATTCAGTTGCAAATAAGGAGGGCAACATGACCCTCATGTCCGGGAAAGGGAACTTATCTTCAGGAGTACTAATACTGGGCATTCCCCATAGGGTGTTCTCGATCGGGCACTGTAGGAGAAGCATGCATTCTTATCTTCACAGAGTGCATTCTTTACTTTAATCATTAAAGCAGATGTACAATGTATGTTTGATAGGCCATAAGTCAGGCTTCTTTGGTTCAAGCAGAATCCATTTTGAACCAGAATAGCTACCCCATATACCTCAATATGTGAAAATCTCTTGTCACCTATATAACACAGCATACTGCCTGAGCAGGTATAGTGTGACCCTCTTCAAATGGCCCTGTGAGAAGGAGAGAGGCTTGGGAACTGACACAAGAAAATGTTGATACCCTGGCTAATGCTCTTGCTGTGAATAATAAAATCCTTTTCTCTCATCCCGGGGTCTCACATTTTCTGCCACCATCCATGGAACTGTGGGAGACTAACTTGTAGGGTAAAATCACAAACCCCTCACAGTTCCCGACACTAAGCACTTTCTATTAACATTATCTCATTAAATCTCATCAATAGCCCTGTAAAGTTCAGCAAAACACTGCATGGTACAAGTAAGGTATTCCACAAATAGTAGTTATTATTATCTTCATCATCTTCATTATTAATTCTTGCAACAATCCTGTACACTTAGAATCAATACCATCATCTTATAGCTGACAGGTTAACTAAGCTGCCAAGAGTAAGTCAGTCACATAAATGGCAGGGGCTGGGATTTAATCCTTTCCACTATTACCACGTCATCTCATAGCTTTAAAATTATGACCTCAGTTGGTGAAACTAAAAACTTGGTTATATCACAACAGCTATTCATTCTTCAAATATGTATTAAATACCTTCTATGTTTCAGGCACTTTGCTGATTCTGGGGAAATAATAGTGAATAAAACATGTTCTCTGTCTTTATGAAACTTATAGTGGACACATACACCAAAACAAGTAAAAGTAAATAAATAAATAAATAAAATAATTACTAACTCTTATAAGCATTATGACGAAAGCAAACAAGGGACTGAGATAGAGAATAACCGGAGGACATACTTTTCAAACTACAGGTTGTCAGTTGGGAATAAATTGAGTGAGTCCCAATCAGCATTTTTTGAAAAATGAAGTAGTATAGAATAGCAGAGAATGCACACACATTATGAGGTAAGCACTGTTTTGTGAAACTTCCATCTTGCATAAAGGGTCCTGATATAAAATGCATTTCCTTTAGGCATGGGGAATAATCTATGCAACAGGAATGTAATGGGAATGGAAAGACCTTGCTGTGTTGGAAAAACAGAAAATAACTGTGGCTAGGATCCTACAGAAAGAAGGGATAGAGTGGCGTGAATTGAGATGGCAGAGAAAGACATTACAGTTCTGCTGCAGTTTGTGCAATGTAGTTTTAAACAGATAAGTGACATGATTTGAGTGACATTTTAGAAGTCCCTTTCCTGTACCAGGAGTATGGATTGGAGGGAGGGCAAGAATGGAAACAGAAAGACCCATCAGAAGGCTGCTGTAAACAGGTGATGTAGGTGATAATAGTAGCTTGGTTTGGGGTGGGAGAATAGAGGGGCAGCAGCGAGGAAAAAGAATGGATGGATTCAAGATACTATATTGAAGATTGAATCAACAGGACTTCCTAAAGTGAGGCATCAGAGGCATACTCTAAATTTCAGTCACATCCAAATATTGTGGCTCCATGAACATACTATGTTCTTCCATGTGTGTGTCTATGCACATGCTCTTCTTGGAATACACTACCCCTCCCCAAGCTCTCACCCCATTCACTTGGTCCACTCCTACCCATCCTCCCCAACATCACCTTTTCCAAAAAGCCTTCCCTGACACTTAGCAGCTGTCTTCTCCATGTTCCCTTAGCACTTCACACATGCTTCTAATACAGTGGTTACAGGCTGCACTGCAATTACCTGTTGACATAACTGCTTCACAAGTTAGTCTGGAGCCATTCCAGGGCAGAAACCGTATTTTATTCACTTTCAACCTTGGGACTGATGACAGTGCTTAGAAAACTGCAGACCCACTAATCAAAGTTTGCTGAACGAAAGTGCCATTTCATGTAATACTTCACTCCTAAACTAGCAAAGGGATCCTCATTCGTAAAGTATGTATTGCACATACTTTTACTTATCCTTATTTCAGATCATCCCTCAATGACTCCACATTCGGAGAAACGTATTTGCTTAGTTTATGTTGCTATACAAATCTATTAGATTCTGTTTAACGATCAGATTGTGCTCCTTGCCTTCACAAACTAAACAGCATAGTGAATAAGAAAGAGCTGATTTTGAAGTTAGATTCTGTTCATAAACCAACTCTTCAATTTATTGACCATGTGGCCTTGGTAGGTTATTTAATCTCTGTGGATCTCAATTTGCTCAATTGTGTAATAAGGTTAATACTTCTATGTCATAGGGTTGTCATGGGGCTTAAACGTCAACGTAAAGTAACTAGCACAAACATACACTCAACACATATTAGTTCCGGTTTCTCCAACTCACCTTCTTTACAAGGAAGAATATAGCCCTTGCAAAACTAAACACAAAATGTTTCTGGTCAAGGCACTATGTTGACCTAAGGGCTAAGAATGGAAACCATCTTATCTCTCCACACACACAGTGCCTGGACACTGAGGTCCAAAACTACCTACCCTGCACATAGTTGACTGTCTACATTAAAATGACTTTATTATTTCTTTGTCTTCATTAGCATAACTTTATTATTCTAGGAGACTCCTGCTCAGACAAATAACTTCATTGTTCATTACAGGGACTTCCTGAAAAATCTATCGATTCTTCAATAGAAAGCATCAACAGTTTATGCCCTAAGAGTCCTTGTGCTCCTCGCCTTGCACTTGCCATCAATCTTAAAGCTGCTAAGATCAATATGCAATGCTAATCCAGCCATCTCCTCCACTCCTCTGCCCTCTTACCTTCTGTCACTGAAAGACCAGCCTTAAACCACACTTCAAATTCTCAGTAAAATCGAACCTTGCCTTCTCAGTCAGAGACACTACCAAAACTCTATCGAGCTGGTGTTCTTCGCTACCCCAGTAAGTCATCAACTCAGCTTTGTCTTATCAAAAGATCCAGCAGTTATATTTGGGAAGCCAGCATTGGATAGGGCAGTACATCTACAGGCATAAAGACAAGGCAGAGGGATTTCCCCACAAAAGTCCAGAAATACTGTAAAAATGAACTAAGGGAAATCACACACCAAAATACCGGGCCGGCCCCATGGCCTAGTGGTTAAGTTTGGCGCACCCCGCTTCGGTGGCCTGGGGGTTCAGTTCCGGGGCGCCAACCTACACCACTTGTCAGCCATGCTGTGGTAGCAACCCACAAACAAAATAGAGGAAGACTGGCACAGATATTAGCTCACGGGGACTCTTCTTTAGCAAAAAGAGGAAGATTGGCAAAAGATGTTAGCTCAGGGCGAATCTTCCTCAGCAAAAAAAAAAAAAAAACAAAAAAGCCACCAAAATATGTCCACTAATATATCCATTAATAAAGAGGAAATGGATTTGTCAAGACTACAATAGAAAGTTTTGCTGCAAAATTCCATAGGTGGCCGATGCGTCCTAAAAATTATTTTTAAGGAATTATTTAAACTTATGTTGCAGTGTTTTATTCCATTCCTCATTACAGAGCTATTCAAATTTGACTCTGTATCAAGAAAAACAGTCTCATGTTATCTTTGGGGTTACCAAAAATAGTGTTAGGACAGGCAGCCAAAGTGATTGCAAGAGAAATCACCAGTTTTTAAATTATATCTTTTCGAATAAAAATTCAGATCTATCATCAACTTCACTAAGAGTAAGGAACACTAATTTCTATAGGGTCTAAACACGGCCCAGTGATTTTCCACCCAGGTAAAGCACACAAAGCTGTAGGGTGGGAAGGAGTTAGGGAAGAACACGTGCCTTTCAAGATTTACTTTTCACCCTCAGAAACTGATCTGGGCCGCACGCCCGACCCTCCACGGGTATGCCTCATCAGCTCCAAAGAAGTGGGAGGCGGCGGCAGAACCCGGGTTTCCGCGGAACCCGCCTTCCCGCTGACTGAGGACTGGCCCGCAGCGGTGAAAGGGCTTCCGCGTGCCGCGCTCCGCGAGGGCCCTCCTTCTGCCAACTCCCGGGTCCGTACCTGACAGGCGATAGACCTGCGGAAGCCACACGCCATAGCCCACTCCACGAAAAGCGTCCTAGCACACTACTCTGTTGCTTCGCCCTGCCCTCCTCTGCACGCCCCGCCTCCGCGCGCAGGAAGCCCGCCCCGGAAGGTGCTGCCAGCCAATCACGGAGCCGCGTGGCCCGCCACTAACCTCTGCCCTGCTGCCGCGAGGGCACTCGGGAAATCCTGAGTGCGTCTGGAATCCGGCGGGCCGTTGGGGCCATGGCCACCTCTTCGGTGTCCAAGGTACGTGGGGGGAGGCGCCCACCAGGGCTCCGCCGCCGCCTCACTCCCTTTCGAAGAAGGGATAAACCGGAGGTTGCATAGGCCTCGGTGTACCGGCTCGAGGGGAGGCAATGGCGGGCCGAGCTGAGGCTTCTTGGGTCCCCAAGCAAAGTTGGCCTCAACTGGAGGTCTGGAGCAAAGACGCCGATCTGCTTTAGTGGTCTGGCTAGGAGGATTTTTTTTTGGTGAGGAAGATTAGCCTTGAGCTAACATCTGTTGGCAGTCCTCATCTTTTTGCGGAGGAACATTGGCCCTGGGCTAACATCCATGCCCATCTTCCTCCACTTCATATGTGGGACGCCTGCCACAGCATGGCTTGAGAGGCGGTGCACAGGTCCCCACCGGGAATCTGAACCTGCACACCCTGGGCTGCTGAAGGGGAGCGCGGAACTTAACCTACCACTCTGCCACCGGGTGGCCCCAGTGGCTAGGAGGATATTTGAGTTCTAGTTTGTAGAGGTCGGATGCTACGAAGATGTGCCCCAGTCTTCTCTCCTTTTTCCTTCTCATAAATATGTACTGTGCGCTAAGCACTCTTAGGTACTGATATAGTAAACAAAAATAGATTGTTTCTGCGCTCAAAGACACTAAACACAGATAAACTGATGATCACGAATTGTGATAAGTGTTAGCCAGAAAGTTCTAAGTGAGAGAACAGAAGAGCGATATAAACCTAATATAGATTGCCGGGGGTCAGCGTAGTCCTTTTGGAGAAAGTGACATTTTAGCTGAGACCTGAAAAATGAGTAGAAGGTAGTCAGGCAGAAGATTGGGGGGCAGGGGCACTGTTCTAGCAGAGAGAATGGCATGTTCTTTGGCCCAGAAAATAGAAATAAAATGGCATATTAAAGGAATTGAAAAAGCAGTATAATCAGAGTAGAGATAGAGAGGGAGCATTATGAAAAATGAGAATGAAAAAATGGTGTAGATGTCTGTGTGTGATGAGATCATATAGACCTTCTCATTTGGGCTGCCTAGATGGCCAGGAATTGCAAGACATGATATTGTAGTTGCTAAGAAGATAATGCTAGAGCTTTTATTATCCAATGTGACAGCCACTACCCACATGGTATTTAAATTTGAATCAAAATAAAATAAAATAAAATTGAAAATTCAGTTCCTCAGTCACACTAGCCACATTTCAAGTGCTCAATAACCACATCTGGTCATGGCTGCCATATTAGACAGCTCAGCTATATGACATTTCCATCATTATCGAAAGTTCAATTGGACAGTGCTACTATAGACCAAGTAAAGTAAGACCTTTAGTAATATTATGAGTGCAACACGAAACCCCTGAAGTTAAGCTGGCTGTTAATCTGAGAATGCAGGTGAAGAAGCTGCAAAGACATTTCTCCCTATGTTAAAACAGTGGATTAATGAAGAAGGCTATACCATGGATCCAATTTTTAATTTCAATGAAATTAAATTTTTTTAAAGCATTCATAAATATTAGCTTTTATTCTTTCAGAGGATTACTGTGAGGATCACATGAGATAATCCATCTGAAAGGGTTTGTGAAATCATGAAGACTATCTTAATGGCAGTGCCTTCCAAGACTACGTATCAAGGAGGAACTACAAGCCATAGGGTTTAAGGTTAGAAAGGATTGACTGACTGTGATGCTAGATTTAACTATGCTAGTATTTTTATTAGGCTTGGTACTGTTTTTATTTTGCCCTGGTTATAAAGTTCCATAGGTTTTGAGTGATCTCTCCCCTAATCTTTTTTGTTGCATAAGCCTCTCTTATTTTTGTATATCTTGCAGAATTGTGAGATTTTTCTTTTTTTTAGGAAAGCATTTATGGTATTATAACAGAAATGCTTGTATTGAGATGATTATGAAGGAAACTTACATAAATAAAAATCTTTAAGGACTATTTCAGGAGTTCATGGAACTGCCAGCTTTTTTTTTTTTTTTTAAATAACCTATCTCAACTTCCCTTTCCTTGCCATATTTTCTGGCTGTTGGCTCTCCTCCTAGACTTCTTCCTCCATCTCAAACACCATCACTTGATCAGCTGTTCACAGTGGTTAACCATATTACTACCACTGCCATATGAGGCTCCATTCCTGGCACTCTTCAGCTCTCACTCCTTCATAGCTCCTTTTCCTTTACTGAATTGCAGGTGGATATAGAAAAGAGGCAATGACAAGCTTGTCGTGGTACTATGATTTTTCTAAATATGTATGCATATTTCAGATAGTTCCACTAGTTTGTAGATACAAGAGTATAAGGCACAATTCTTATTTTGGATCCTGTAATTCAAATGGCCCCTTTATATTTGCACAGCTGTCTTTAGCACTATCCTGAGATGACTTTTTCTAGGTATATTTCTTTCATTTTCCGTAGAAATGGCAATCTTTAAGAAGCTATCCATGATGCATGGCTTTAGGATTGAATTAACATAGAGCCAGTAGCTTGGGGGCTGTGTATCACTAGTCAAATAATAATATGAAAATAAATGTAGCTAGAAAATTAACAGGAAAATTACTTGGCAAGCATTCATTCATTTCATATACTGATGGCCTAATGTAAATGTTAACACTATCCTAAACATGGGGGAAACAATTACGAATTAAATGCAGTCTGTTCTGAAGGTGCTTACAAGCTACTTCGGGAGACAGACCCATAAATAACTATGATACACGATGAGAGTGATTTAAAACAAAGCAAAATAAAGATATTCATGTACTCTGATATCTCAGGAGGAGTAATTCTGACTACAGAATTGGGGAAGGTTTCCCAGAGCAGATGAGTTTGAGTGGAACTTTAATGGATAAATGAATAAGGGTTTATCAGATGAAGAAAGATATGTAAAGTGAAACAATAGCCAAAATTATCTATTTCCTGTCAAGGATCTAGATACTTGGAGTTTAATTAAATAATAAATACTTCTTTGAGATGGGAGATCTATTTTCAGTCTTCTTGATCTTCATTTTAATCTATATAGCACTTCATTTTAATCTAAGTTTTATAAAAAATGGAACCGTTCTGGGTTTAAATTTCATCAGCTTTTATTTTCTTTGTCTCTTAGATCAGGTCCCAAAGAGCAAAATCAAAGATGAACATCCCATGGGAAGGAGGAGAAAGAAATGGGTAGTCCCCCTGTTTAAGATTTTTCCTTCTATAATTCAGATAGAAGAGATGTGATTTCTTAGCACTTTAAAGAAACATCTTTTTTTTTTTTAAATCTGCTTATCCATAAAATACTTAGTTAATCAGATTTGTCTGCTCTTTGGCTTTGACTTTATGCTTGCTTTCTTTTTTATAGGGCTGCTTTGTGTTTAAGCCAAACTTCAAGAAGAGAAAGATCTCTGTGCCAATAGGTAAGATGTCTTATTATCATATTTGTTGGTTTTCCTCCCCCAAGTCTTAAACTTTAAGAACTAACCTAACCCTAATTGAATTTAGTAATTCTCTTGTCTAAGCTTGGCTTACTTATCATGTTGATGTAGCAGTTGTGTTCTGAGGTGTAGGTCAAAGGGATAAGGGTACACCCCAGCGTTCTAATCTAAAAGGGAATCCAAATATACCTTCAAAAGGCAAATGGTAATGTAAATTTCCTTCAAAGGATATGTCACTATGTTTTAAAAGAGATTGTCTTAAAAATCTCAGTGGTTTCCTGGGGTGAGGTAGGGGGAATTGACTGCAAAAGGGCAAGAGGGTCTTTTTGGAGTGATGGAAATGTTCCTTAGATTGAGGGGGTGGTTATATGAGTGTATACTTTTGTTAGGACATATCAGACTATTAAAATGGGCATACTGTTTGTACATTATACCTCAATAAAATTAAATTATTAAAAAAGAAGATACTGTCTTCACTTTATTTATCTCCAGGTATCTATTTAGTGATCAAGTTAAGAAGACTTGACTTCTTCAAACAAATCACAATATTACTGTCAGTCAGAAAGTGTTTATTGCACTGGTTCTCAATTGTGGCTGCACACTAGAATCACTTGGGGAACTTTTTAAAAAAGAAAGTTTTTTTTATTTTTCTGTACCCTTCACCCAGTTGTCCCCAGTGGTAATATTTTGCATTACTATAGTATAGCATCACAACCAGGAAACTGACATTGGTACAATCCACCGACCTTACTCAGATTTCAATTTGGGGAACTTTTTAAAGACACCAATGCCCAGACCCCAACCTAGACCAACTGAATCAGAATCTCTGTGAGTGGGACCCAGGTGTTGGTATTTTTTAAAAGCTCCCCACGGGCTTATTGAGTATTTACACTCTATATTCAGCACTGCGAAGATTAATTCCAGTGGAAAAATTATGACAGGGAATTACGCATACTCATGCACTAGTTTTGAATTAACAAGGAAAAGCTGAACTATACCATTGTTTGACTAAGGAAATAAATAACTTGAATATATAGAATAGGATTTTTCCAAATCATGACATGATGCAGACCATAGGGTATTAATCCTTCAGTTTGAGACTAGCTAGATAAGAGGCCTCTGCTCAAGGATATGACCTGTGCTCGTAATAAAATAATGGTTCATACTGAGGGGAACAGAGGGTAGAAAGTATGACTTAGGATAAGAATCTAGTTTCTCATTAATAGAGGAATAAAGAGTGATCTTGAGCTTTATACCCTTGTAAACTTAGTCTCAAGGAAACCTGAAGCTGTCTGTATTCCTTGCCCTCCTCCCCCCCAAAAATGAAAAGTGTCAATGATGGACTTGTAAATAGTGAAGAATAGCTACATTAAAATTAATTTATTTTTAAGTGATTGACTTATGAACAAGTTTCTTTAATGTTGGAGATTGCTAAACTTGACTAGAAATAGTTCATTTTCAGAGAAAATTCAGGACTTCTTCCCCCATTATCCATGAAGGATACATAGCATGAAATGACATCTGATACCATCAGCAATGTAATTGTAACTAATCAAATTGCTAACATTTATTGAGTGTTTATTATGTGCCAGACTATTTCTGATCACGTTATATGTGTTAATTTGTTTAAGCCTCTCAGCAAACTATGAGGAATGTGTTCTTTTTATCTCCACTAAAATGTATGAGGATACTTCATATATAGACATAGAACTTTCTCAGTGATGGTGCTAATAAATAAGTAGCAGAGCTGGGATTTGAACCTAAGTTGTCTGATTCCAGAGCCCGTGGTCTAACAGTTACTTGATACTGCCTCTCATAATATGAGGCAAGTTTTTGCTTAGAACTTTTTGTATTGAATTTCAACTACAATTTATTAAAATTTGTTTAAAGTTTTTAGTATTGGTAAACCTAATGTGTATAATCATATAATTTGAACTTTGCTTTAGAAGTACATTAGGTTTGTTTTTTTTTCATTGTGGTGATCTAAGAACAACAGATACCATTATAATATAAGAATCTTAGAGGTATTGACCTTGATTATAGACAGATGGAGCAGTAACAAGGAAAACATATCCAGATTTTAGCACTTGCCTTCACTGGCTTCAATTCTTGAAACAGATTGCCTGACGTAGTAGGAATATGCTCTGCGTTTTGCCGACCGTCTGTCCCCTGACTTGATGCTTGGGCATATACCTAAGAGAATCCTAGAAAACAACTGGGCAGGAACTGGCGGGCGGGGCAAGACAGAGAGATACTGGCGGCAGCACAGGCCCTGTAGGAGATGTTCACACTGAAGTGAAGCACTGTGAGTGGGAGCTGGAGGGAACCTGACGACAACAGTGACCACTTACATTCTTCAGGTCCTCTCAGTGCTTGTTTATATTTTACTTACCTGATCTAGAATGACTGAGAGAAGTCCTGGTAACAGGTTCAAGTGCCCTAGTGCTGTTGTTTCCCAATTTCTAACAGTTTTTTCAAAACAGTTACCTGTTTTGATGCAGTGTTATTCAGCACATAAAAAGTTCATGTCTTGATTTGCCGCTTTAACATTTTACTATGATTTTATTCATTATCAAAAGGAAATGACTATTTTTGTTCTATATGAGGTTACCTTGTTATTCTGTTCTGTCTCTTAGTAATATTGTATCTCCTTGCTTTTTTTGTTTGCGTTTTTATGCTATAACCTTGTCTACCATTTTACCATATGATGACTTCAGTATATTCTAAGGTTTGACAAAATTAGAAAATCAATATTTGCTAAAACCTCTGAGTCAACTGTGGGACTAGAAGGCAGCTTCCTTAACATGAAAGAGAATTTCTATGCCAAATTATCAGTTAACATTAAAACTTGATGATAGAATACTAGCAGCATCTCAGTAAAGTCAGGAACAAAATAGGTACTTTCACAAATATTTTTTAATACTGTGAAAGTTCTAGCTGTTAGAATAAAATACCTAGCAGTAAACAACAAGAAATATGAACGAAAGTAGAAAACTATAAGGAAAAGGTAAAATATTTGATTAAATGAAGAGACTTGTAATGTTTTTGGATGTGAATTTTTTAACATATTAAAAATGTCATTTCTCCCCAACTCAGTAAGTATTTAGACAATAAGGGCATCTCAAATCAGTGGGAGAAAGGATGGATTATTCAATAATTGATTGTTTTTCAAACTGAAGGTTATAACTCAAGTGTGAGTCATGAAATCAGTTTAGTGGGTCATGATAGTTTTAAAAAACAATAGAAAACATTTGCTATCACATGATAAGGATAAGTATTGTTTGTGGGCCTTTTGTTTTTGTTTCTGTTATATGTATTTGTGTTGGATTATGATGTAAAGTGTATTTCTTAATGTGGATCATGGTTTAAAAATTTTGAAAACCACTGCAGTAAATGGTATTATGAAAAATGGCTATTTGGAGGAAAACATTCAAAAAGGATATTAAATAATGCAGACTAAATAAAAGGTTAGGCTAAACTATGTCAATCAAACAAAAGAACAAAAATTGTAGTAAGAATCATTTAATAAAGGTGAATTCAAAGCAAATATGTGAAGTAAAGTATATAAGGCCTTAGAACAAGAACAAATAATGAAAATAAGTTAATGTTAAATGTATGTCAAACCAAAGCCATTTAAATAAATAAAAACTGTTAGAAATTCAAAAGTAAATAGTAGAAATACAATCTAAAAATTAAAAAAGATATTTTTAATTTTATACATACAAGTAATATAGTAAAAATATAAGCTATATAAAGAAAATTAAGGATATTGAATGTTACCTCTCTCCAAATAGATATATTTTTGATATATGTAAAAAAATTCAACCCCATCACTTACTGTGTGACTTTGCACAGAGATTTTCTCACTTTTATGAAAAAGAAGCTGACTTATTTCTTTCTGTGTTCTTAGAGGACTATTTTAATAAAGGGAAAGATGAGTCTGAGGACAGTAAGCTTCGATTCGAAACTTATCATTTGATATGGCAGCAGATGAAATCTGAAACTGAGGTGAATACTTTTTTTAATAACTTAACATTTCTCTAATATGTAAATCTAATGTTTGTTTCTTCCCATCTTCCCTTCCATCAATTTACAAGAGTATTTATGAAATGTAAATAGTATTTGTTAACCGTATCTGTATATGGTAAAAAAAACCTTCACATTCCAAGTATTAAGCATAGCTTCAGGTACCAGAACATATGTTTATAATGATAGCTGCTAAGGCAAGTGGCCTTTTACATATCCTCACAGCTTTTAAGTGGTGACACTAAATTGTCCATTCAGTTATACATATTAAGAAATCAAGCTATTTCTGAACTACTTGACTCCCTCATCCTCATACCCAGTTACCATGTTCTTTATATTCGATCTTTGAAAAATTTTACCGCCATAGCAAAGTCGTAGCTCTAGGGCCAACATCTTGCCCAACAGTGTTGTATTTTTTTTGTTTTTTAATGCCTTTTGGAGGATTATGATGCACTCTCCAGTTTATTACTGCTTCCCACCACTCTTATTGCTTTACACCTACTGGCTTTGCTTATTCGTGAATTCCATGTGACCCTTGAAGTTATTTGAGTTCGTGGTTTCCCGTTTAGACCCCCTTCATTTCTTAACCTGGATTGTCATATCCTCCTCACGTCCCTGCCTGTGATGTCAAACCCTTCAGGTCTGTCACTAGCCCTAGTGGCACCATTGGCCAAATTAGGAAAGTCTTCCCTTCAGGCAGATACAGCCCTATGCCAGGCTGCAGGGATTTTTCCAGCCCCTCTACCAGTGCAGCCTCTCAGATCCCTTCTAATCTGGCCTTTACAGTGCTGCCAGATTAACCCTTCTTTACCCTGATTTAATCATATCTCTGCTTCAAATCCCTTCAGTGGTTCTCCCCACAGGATAAAATCCAAAGCCTTTAACATCATATATGTATTTTCTTCATCTGACCTTGCTTATTTATCTGGTCTCCTTCCCTACCACTTCTCAAATTCTTCATGTTTAGCTATATCTGTGGTTCCCCAGATGTTTGGTGCTTGCTTCCTTCCTTGCCTCCTTCACTCTCCATTCCTTCTAGCTTTCTTTTACCTACCATCACCTCCTCCATAACCTGCTCTAATGCTTTAGCTCAGCTATATCACATCCTCAGCTTAAGCTGGGTGATCCTACTCTTTGTTCCTATACAGTCGTGCGTTGCCTAACGAGAGGGATATGTTCTGAGAAATTCATCGTTAGGTGCGAACATCATAGAGTGTACTTACACAAACCTCGATGGTATAGCCTACTACACACCTGGGTTACATGGTACTATTCTTATGGGACCACCGTTGTATATGTGGTCGTCGTTGACTGAAACGTTATGCAGTGCATGACCATATTATCATAGCACTCTACACAGTGTGTTTTAATTGTAAGTGTTCTTGCTCAGTTTCTTCACTTTTTTAGGGTAGAGCCTATCTTTCCTTTGTAAGGTGGATAGTAGATATTTGTTGAATTAATAAATGGGATTCTTTAATGAGGGAATCCAAAGCACTAATCACTGGATTTAAGGAAAAAAACATTTTTTATTTTATCCATTTTATGATCATTTTACCTGTAGTCTTTGCAGTTGAATTCGTGACAGTTTTCTTTCCCAAACTTGGAAAGACTCATCAGATTACTACTAATAATAATTCATAAAGTTTTGTGTTTTCTTTATAGCGACTACAAGAGGAATTAAATAAAAACCTGTTTGACAGTCTAATCGAATTTCTGCAAAAGTCTCATTCTGGATTCCAGAAGAATTTAAAAGACTGGGGTAGTCAAATAAAACTCAGAGAAATTCCAGCTGCTGCTCTTGTTCTAGGTATGTACACGTGTTTGGTTTTTTTTAAATTGCCGGTTTTGTTGTTGAGAATAGTGGGGAATAATCTGTTCTGATAAACCTGTTTTGTCTCTTTCATTTACAGAATTAAACCAATTATAGTTTGCTTTGCGTACTTTGAGAACCAGTAAAAGTTCCATATATTGATCATACATCTGTAAATTAAAAGAAATTGATCTAAATTTAGCTACTTCCCTCTTCAACTTTTTGTCAGAAAAATGAAGGGGAAATATATTTGTTACTCTTTCTTCCTTGGTTATGTTAGGAGAATATATGAGATTTGAATTTGGTAATAAAGAAACCACCAGTAGGTTAATAAATTTGATTTTTATACTTTTTAATCATATCTTCAGTGGAATTACTCTATGACCTTAGTTTTATTTCCTTGTGCTTAGTTTTTCAGTCTTGGATTGTTTTATAATATTGCATTAAAATGAATTGTTTCAAAGGGGATTTGGATGAATTATATATAAATTGCCTTCAGACTACAGGTTGTAAATTTCTTAGGTACTTAAATATCTATCATTAATATCCCATTTTTACCAAACATCTGGATTGCAAGATAATGGAAAAAATTTATTTAGAATATTAGCAAATTTCTTTCATTCTTTGTTGAAAAGAGAGTTGAGTTTATTTGGATTCCAAACATACTCTTCATTTCACTTCCAATTTGTTATTTATTCAGGTTTTGTTATACTAGTGGGCTCTGAGATAAGAAATTAATTCTCTTGCGTAATACTACCTCTAATACTGTTCATTACCTAAATCTTGTTCCTGATATTCAGGGCAATACTTCTCAAAATTTAATGTACCTACAAGTAACTTCCAGAGGATCTTATTAAAATGCAAATTTTTGTTAATAGGTCTGGGGTGGGACCTAAAATTCTGCATTTCTAACAGGCTTCCAGCTGATGCCCATATTGCTAATCCCAAAACCTCTCTGAGTAACAAGACTCCAGGGAATAATTTTTACAATGCTGTGAACCAGCTTTACTTTGCAGCCTGCCCCTTAATTTCAAAACCCCTTCCATTTATGGAGGAGAGACAGAGGCCCAGCGATGGCCAGCCTATCCTGTTGGGTGCTTTCTTTCTCTACTGCCAGGTTACAGCAGTTGGCGTGGAGCGGGGAAAACACAATCAAGAGGGATGACCTGATAGATTGTGTGAGAGCACTGTTTGAATCCTTGCTCTGCCTACTGCCAAAAGGAGAAAAGAAGCTAATGGAAATCATATGTTTCAAAGTCAGTGGTCTGAGGAGAACATTTTTCCAGTTACAGACATTGTTGATTATCTTGTTTGTAGTAAACGAGTTCATTGTTTTAAGGAACATAGTGTTAAATAGCTTATAAAGTCAGTCAGTGAAAGACAGGATAAGCCAGTGTTTTACTAAACTCCCAAATTTGTTCAGAGATGTAGTATCACAGTCATAGACCATGATGCATGCTAGGAACATCGTTTTGATACTATAAAAAAAAAATCTGTACTCAAAGAATGCTTAAGCACAGTTGCACATTTTTTATTTTCAAAAAGGTATATCCATTTAAAAATACCCTGCCAACATTGTTATTTGTTGGCTCTCTTAGAAAAAAAAAATGTTGCTTATTGATGTCATGGATGATTCTGAACCTTTTCTTTTTCTTCCAAGCAATGGAAGTTTTATAGTAGCAAGTCTCAAACAATTTCAAGATGTCTACTGCTGGCACCTGCCTAAGCACCAAAGCACTTTCTAGAAATCATAGATTGTGACATTAAGGAAGGTATCAGTTAATAGAAGTTTTTCCAAAATAGTGAGGAAATTTCCACTCATGTTAACTGCATGCAGAGCACTAAAACTCTGATTTGTGGAAATGAGAACCAGGGGTTCAGTAAGTATCAAAAGGACTCTAAAGTTTTTATTTGTTTTTAGGCTCCTCCCTCAGAAATCAGCTTAGTGTACATTTTACCTACTGTATCTACTACTTTGATCATTAATAGTGTTAAGTTGGTAAGTCAGAGTCACAGTAAAGCTGGAATCCATAGCCCCTTATTTTTGAATGATTATTTTAGAGAGCTCTTTATGAATTTGACAAAGTAATGAAATTACTCCTACAATGTTTTCTGGGGTCAACTACACATCCTCAGTAATTTTGTAAAAGAGAAATTGTGCTGAATACCTTTCCTGACAAATAAGTATAGCATGTGCCTTTAGATATCTATTGTTAATGGAGATCTCTTCATATATTTTCTTAATTTCTGTTATTAATCATGTTTTAAAAATATTTTTACTTAGTAATTCACTTGACATATTAAATAGCTTTTGTTATTATTAATAATAAAAATGATGGTATAATATTGATATATTACCCCACAGGTGTGAATGTAACAGATCATGATTTAACATTCAGAAGTCTAACAGAAGCCCTTCAGAATAATGTCACACCATATGTAGTCTCATTGCAAGCTAAAGATTGTCCAGGTAAAGTATAAATGCCATAATCACCTTGGTGAGATGTTACAAATCTCTTTGTCCTTCTCCCTTTATTTTTGGCAGGGTGAAGTTTAGTGCCTCCCAGAGTAATCTTGACTGTTGCAGAACTCTGCCACCTTTTGCTTCGTTAGTTTCAACCCCATCCCTGTCATATCAGCCTCACTGCCAGTAATAGTCCAAGCATTTTGTAAGATGTGTTCCTTAACCCAGTGAAATTTTAGTAGATAGGAAGGTTTGGGACAGAGGGCTGAGAATTGAGGAATAGGGAGCTCTTATTTAGCCCAACAGAGAGTCGACTACATAGGCTCATATTTACAGCCTCAAATCATCTTATTGTTGCATTTTGAAAGGCCACCATAGTAGAAATAGTCCATTGCCAGAGGTAATCTTGGGTATCTGAAGCCATTAAATCATAAAGGATGTGGACACTAATAGAGTAAAATGTGCTTAGATTTGGACTGATATAAGGGCTTTCTGTGCTTATGTTACTTTCATATTCATAAACTGATTGGAATTAAGTAAAGCCCTTAGGACATCTTTAAAAATGACTATAAGGAAGGTTTATAATCAGTAAAATAACTTATGTAAATAAAACTTTTATCTTTTTATAGGGGGCTTAAAAAACTTTTATTGTCCAGTGTAATTTAAATACATATTATTCCTAATATAATTTATAGTTTTCATGTTTACACATTTGCTTAAGTAATACTTTTATAATAGATAATGCACATAAACTTTGGCCTAGTGTTAAGTCTGAATTAATGAAATTTATTACAGAGAGGATACTTATGAACATTAATAGTTAATATATTAAATATTATGTTAGTTATATTAATGTTAAGTATAGAAAAACACATTCTACATTCTCTAGAGGAGATAACTTTTCTTACCTTGTATATTCTGCAGATATGAAACATTTTTTGCAAAAGCTGGTCTCACAGTTGATGGAGTGCTGTGTAGATGTTGAATCCAAAGAGGAGGAAAGTGTTCAGGTCACCCAGAAAAAGACACATTGTTCAATGGATTCTCTTTCCAGTTGGTATATGAATGTCACACAGGTAAATGTAAACTGACAGTTTTCTCCCAGAAAATTGACATATGATTGAAGAGGCTTGGAATTATATTAAACATAGTACTGTTTTGTTCTAATAAGAATATGCTTACGCAGCACTAGCTGTTAATTTAATAGTAGCTACTTATTTTCCTAAGGCTACTAGAGTTTAAAAGTATTCTTTTATCAGTGTGCAGCCTAATTCCTGTTAAATGTTTAGGTGCTTACAAGGCCATTTTATTTGTGGGAGAATGTCATCTAGTGACAAAAACAGCTCAGAAATTGGTTCTGCCACAGGTTCTATCTCTGTGACAATGGCTATAACTTTAATATGCTATCTCTTAGGTTCTTTGGTATTTGCTTTTGTGCAGTAGAACCGTGCTGCCAATACCCCTTGTCAGCTTAGTCCAATGAGGAAGTCATATTTTTTAAAAAAAAAAATATCTTAATTTGTTCCATGTTTGGAATACTTGGAAAATAAATGCTCTGTAAGTAAAGTGTGTTCAACAAGCAGATAAATAAAAAGAAGTTCCATTCTACCATGACAGTCTCTGGTGAAAACGAATAACCTACGTGATTCATGGGTAACTGTCCCATAAAACCACAGCCGTAGTTTATGATGCTGTGTAGCCAAGTAGTATGGGAAAAAATACTGTGGTGACATTTTCTGATGAACATATTTGCTGAAGTCATCATAAGTAAAGTTTCATTTTGTTTTATATAGGGATTAAACTGGGTTTAATGCTTACCATAATATCTAAGTTGATCCATAATTTTAGACTTTCTAGAAATCAAACGCTACATGTAATTTATGTCAGGTATCTTTAAAAGATTGGGATTGGACCAGATGATATTTAAGATGCTTTTCAACTTGAAATTTCACAGTAGCAGAGCAGCAAGTAGTGTTATTCATTATGCTTTTTAATTGAAAATACTAGTTCTTACCTTAAAGCAAAGCAAAACATAACATTCTACCAACAGATAAATCAAATTTACAGAAAATGTTCTCTTCTCTCCATGCTTTTCCTGTCATTTTCTCAGATAGCAGAAAATATAAATATTTCATATGAGTTATAGATTTTACTTTTGGTTATTGGTTATTACTTTTTCTTTTTCTATTATTTGGTTATTACTTTTTCTTCTTGGTTATTAGTCCCATGTCAGACACAGAAAGATTCTGCTAATAACTGTTGGAATGAGTTTCTATTTAATATGTGGGAGAAATAAAAGAAACAATGTTACTGTGGAATGTAAAGGGAGATATATCAGCATGTGGCATTATAGCATTGTCTGGGAGTAAGGCTTACTTTTGATTCCTTCTTTCCACAATGGCTTCAAAGAAGACAGACCCAAAAATGCCAAGGAAAAAGAGGACTTCTAGCCAATGGCAGTCTCCTCCTGTTGTGCTTATCTTAAAGGATATGGAAAGCTTCACCACAAAAGTACTCCAAGACTTCATAATTATCAGCAGGTAGATGGTATATCATCTGGCTTTTGCCAGAAGTCTTTTTTTTAAGAAAACATATAACTTCTAACTTAAAAAGCAACCTTTTTTGGATAAAATGAATGGCAATTTAACCTTCATTTTAATACCAACTGGATGGAAACCAAGATGATTTCAAATTCCTTATAATTGAATGTTCAAAGACCTCCTATCAGATTTTCCTTTGCTTTTTTGAGCTAAGAATGAGAATCAAAAGATGAAAGTTAGCCAGTTTTCAATGATCATGATAAGGCAGTAAAAAATAGTTTCTCTCACCTAGGTTGTCTGTCTCTTACTTGCCCATTAAATGGATAAACTGCTCCAGGTTGAGATATTTTTGTCAGGTCTTATTTTCTAATACCTATCCCACCTTAGAAGCTCTGAGTTACGTACAGCTCTACTGAGCCAGAAGGTTTTCTAAATAACATTATCTTATATAATATTTCTATGAGAAATTACTTTCATGATCTCATTGGATCTTCAAAGCAATCCTGTTTGACTCAGAATTGAAGTAACTAACCATATTTTTAAAAATCCAGTGACATGCATTTCCCATGGTACATTTTTTAGGATAAAATTTATTTTGGCTTCTACTGTATGTTGCTTAATAGTTATGGCTACATTTGCCTAAAGCTATATTGTGTTATAATTTACTATTATATTTATAATTCCTATCTTGATAGTGTCTTTATTTTCCCACTGCAACTAAACTAATCCTAAGACTTTTCTTAATGCTAACGCTAAACTGCTTAACATGCTAGAAAAACACACAGTACAGAATAGTGACAGAAAAGCTTTACTTCTTTTGGAGCTCAGACTTGTGACTAATTTTACTATCAAAAGTAAAGAAGAACTTAGAACAGTAACAGAGTCCAGGCACTTTACTCCTATGAAGATAGAACTGCATACAGCTAGAATACTGAAAAGCAATAACTAACAGGAGGGAGCAAGCAAAGTCATTAGCCATGATACAGAGGGCTCTGACCTGCAATAGCTTTCAAAGATAGTGCTGTTTTACGCTGTGGAAGTCATTTGTGTTCATACTGGTAATGCTAAGAATAAATCATGTTCAATAAGTTTGAGTTAAGAATGTGAGGAAAGGATAGAACATTTTTTAATGATGTCCATTAAAAATATGTCTTACATATGTGTAAGAGAAGTTTTCTAATTCTTAGCTGTCATGACTGGATGACATAGTGTTTGTTAGAAATGTCCGTAAATAGAGTAAGTTACCTTGAAAATTAGTGAACTTCATGTCACTGAACTCTTAAAGCATAGGCTGGATGTCTAATGTAAGTAGGGCTCAAACTTTGGGTGAGAGGTTAAATTGAATGGTATCTAACACCTACCTCTTCTAACATTTGAGATTGTGTATAACCTTACAGGAAGGCACTTGATCTCCCTGGACCTCTGTGTTCTTATTTATAAAATGAGAAGATCCATTAAAAGATTGATTTCAGAGCTAGCATGTCTGGGAAATAACTATTTCTATGTTACTTTAACAGAGGAAAATGAGTGACCTAGAACATTTTAGTATTTAGAATGATACTGCTTGGCAGTGTCTTATCAAGTAGGCATTAAAATAAAAGTTGTCTTATTTTGAAATATGATGTATTGAAATATATTTGCTGAAGAAATTCCACTTTTGTGTCTTCCTTTGAAAACTAGTCAACATCTACATGAATTTCCACTAATACTCATTTTTGGAATTGCCACATCTCCTATTATCATCCATCGGTTGCTTCCTCATGCAGTATCATCTCTGTTGTGTATAGAACTTTTCCAATCTTTGTCTTGCAAGGAGCACCTGACTACAGTACTTGATAAGGTAAAAAAAAAATTTTACCAGTGAAATAGGATGATAAGAAAACTGCCAAGAATAGAATATAAATGTAAATGTTAGTAATAAATTTCTACATCTCTCAGAGTATGATATTAAACATATTCCTTCACATATTTTAATATTTTTATTAATGATTTTTATAGTGTTAGGGTATTGCCTCTTCAGATAAAATATAAGCTTATGAAAAGAATGATCATATCTTTCCATATCTATCTACCAATCAATCAGTAATTACTCAATAGAAAATTGTAGGTTTTTAAAATAAAGTTTTATAGAATTTAATGGCTTCCTAGTAACAATAACAATGTTTTGACTCTTACATTGTATATAAAATGATTTAAAGTTTTTAGTGGACTCCTTCCTGTTATGCTGCTCTTGACAAAAAAATAAATACTAATGTTTTCCCAGACCTTAGTTCTGTTTCTACCTAAATAGAAATGCGATTCTTTAGTATTGACCTTCCACAAATTGTTACTAGACTCAGCTTCTTTAAGGTGTGCTTTATGCTGCTTGTGTAAGGTGAACTAATGACAACCTTCCATTTATTTACTAGCCACTTCTACATTTTTTTCCCGTAAAGGTGGTATCCATTGGTTTACTGACCCAGCTACGGTATTTAAAATTGCTTGTTTGTGGCCAAATTCAGTTGGCCTTCTGTAACTATGCTTCCGTTTAAAAAGCTTAGTATGACTTTTCATTTTCGGATGTAAAATCTTCACTATAGGCCATTGAAAACTAGCTGAATGATACAAATTTAGCTATTTTACGTTTTTAAAATAGATATCTTTTAATTTTGGGTTTCTCATTTGACAGTACATAATGTGTTACTCTTCATTAATGTGTATCAGTAGGGGTGAAAAAGAAATCTTATCTGATAACAAGAATTGCCAAAGCCTGCAGCTTCTTCAGTGGCTTCTGGTGGGAGAAAAGGGATTATATAGTTATAGGACTTGGATGGGGGATGATGGACATCTTTGATTCTGAAGATGTAGTATGAATAGCTTCTTTTTGTTGTTGTTACTGTTGTGTAAATTAATTTAAAATTTTGATTGATATTTGACATAAAAAACCTAGCTACCATTATAGCTTTCATAGTTACTGTCATAGTATCATTCTTTGCCTCATTCTTTATACTTGATATGTATGAAGAGTGAAGACTAACAAGGCGTATGTCCTTGACCCCCTTTTCTCTCTTACAGCTGCTTCTTACAACTCAATTTCCCTTTAAGCTAAGTGAAAAAGTGTTACAGATTCTGACCAACATCTTTTTGTATCATGATTTCTCAATTCAGAACTTTATAAAAGGACTTCAGGTAAGAAGACACTAATGGGTTTGAAAATTTACAAGCTGATTCTAAATAATTTGCATGTTGTTTCAAACTATTTATTCTGATAATTAAGGCATTTTAAATGGCAAAATCTAGAACAAGTAAAGTCAAGTTGTATTATTCTAGGTTCTACCATTCGTTTGTTACCTTGCAGCAAAATATAGAGAATACATTAATTCAGGTGTCAAAAATGGAAAATGATGGGGCCGGCCCCGTGGCTTGGTGGTTGAGTTCGGCGTGCTCCACTTTGGCGGCCTGGGTTCACGGGTTTGGATCCTGGATGTGGACCTACACCACTTGTCAGCCATGCTGAGGCAGCGACCCACATACAAAATAGAGGAAGATTGGCACAGATGTTAGCTCAGAGCTGTTCTTCCTCAAGCAAAAAAAGAGGAAGGTTGGCAACAGATGTTAGCTCAGGGTGAATCTTCCTCAGGAAAAAAAACATGGAAAAAGACCCCCCCTCCATTCTAGTGATTCTTAACCATTTTGTGGGTGAGGAGGAAGGGGCCTTTTTTTGAAAGTCTGATGAAAGCTTATGGACTCTCTACCTAGGAAATGCTATACATGAGGGGTCAGCAAACTTTTTCTGTAAAGGACCAGATATTAAATATTTTTGGCTTTGCATGCTACATATGGTCTCTGTTGCATTTGCTTCTTTTTTTAAATAACGCTTTAAAGATGTAAAAATCATTCTTAGTTCCTGGGCCATACAAAAGTAGGCTATGAGCTATAGTTTGCTGTCTCCTGCACATATATATATATGCTTGTTCATTTATATTTATTCTTATATATTGGAAATACATTTTCACTAAGGTTTCTTGAATTGCCAGAAGAAAATTCGTGAACTTAGCTTCATAACATCTCTTCTAATCTAAAAAAAGACCCCATTCCCCAGTTGTTTAAAAGTTAATATTATTCCATTCTCTTGGCAACTACCTGAAATACCTTAGCAAAGTGTAGTCATTGTGAACACATGCCAGTTGTCAAGTTCATTGAAACCCATGTGTTAGTAACCTTCACAACAAAAGTGCAGTATGATAGTACCTCATGTTTGTGTAGTGCCTTGAAGATTATAAATTATTTCTCATATGTATTCTTCCTCCACATAAAACACTGTAGTGGTCTCTTATGGCTAATATGTGTTTGTGTTTTTTTTCAAATTATACTTTTTAAAAAGAGTATTTTAGGGGCTGGTCCAGTGGTATAGTGGTTAAGTTTGTGCACTCCACTTGGGCAGCCTGGAGTTCACAAGTTCAGATCCTGGGCACAGACCTACACACCGCTCATCAAGCCATGCTGTGGCAGCATCCCATATACAAAAAAATAGAGGAAGATTGGTACGGATGTTAGCTCAGGGACAATCTTCCTCAAGCAAAAAAAGGAAGATGGGCAGCACATGTTAGCTCAGCGCCAATCTTCCTCACCAAAAAAAAAAAGGAAAAAAAATTTAAAAAAGTATTTTAAAGCAAGAAAATATTGTTTACCTTAGCAATATGTGAAATTAAATGATACTGAGATATAATAACTTTCTAATTTACTTCTCTCATTTATTTCATTCATTCATTTATTTATTCATAAGTATCATCAAGAGCCTCCTGTGAGCCAAGCACTATGCTGAGCCCTGGAGATACAGAGAACAAAGAAATCTCTGCCCTCAAATTGCTCATTGTTTAGTGAAGGAAGCGGAAGAGTAAACCCACGGTTACAGTTCTGAGTAGTCCCCACTATGAAGGAAACCTGCCTGGGGATTCCATAGGAGAGCGCAAGTGTATCGTAAGGAACAGGAGCTAGCTGGGTCAAACCTGGAAGAACATTCCAGGCAAAGGCATCAGTAAAGGGAGAGAGATCTATTAGAGGGCTATTGCAGTAATGTAGACAAGATATGACAAGGGCTAAGCTAATGATAGTGGGACTGGAGAGGAGGAAGCAAATTTGAGGATGAGATAGAACTGACAAAACCTGGTGACTAAGTGGATCATAGGGTGTGTAAGAGAGGAGCATAGAGACAGACACAGGTTCTAGCTTGGCAGATGGATGCGAGGTTGGTATCATTTATTAAGAGTACAGGTTAATATCAAGTGAAGAGCCAGTTTGTTAGAAAAGGATGAGTTTCTTTTTATATATGGTTAATTTGGGGTGTGTTGGATATAAAGATTTGGCACTCAGGAGAAAGATCTGGACTAGAAATATTTAGGATTTATCATTAAAAGGTGGTAGTTGAAGTCATGTAATGAGGATGAGGCATCACCCAGAGGAGAGAGGAAAGGACTGAGGGTATAACCCTAAGGCACGCTGACATAGAAGAGTGAGCAATAGAAAAGGAGACTAAGCACAGGAAAGAAAGCCAGTGGAAAGTAGAGTATCACTGAAGTCGAGGGAAGAAGGAGTTTTAAGAAATATAAACTGTAGTCTCAAATACCATTGAGAAAGTGAGTGAAGAAAAAGACATTAACCAAATTACTTTATCTCTCTGGGTCTCAGTTTTCTCATCTGTAAATAGGGATTAGGGGGCCAGCCCCATGGCATAGTGGTTAAGTTCAGTGCACTCTGCTTTGGCGGCCCAGGTTTGTGGGCTTGGATCCCAGGCATGGACCTACACCACTCATCAGCCATGCTGTGGTGGTGACCCACATACAAAATAGAGGAAGATTGGCACAGAAGTTAGCTCAGGGACAATCTTCCTCAAACCAAAAAAAAAAAGGCAACAGATGTTAGCTCCGGGCGAATCTTCCTTGGCAAAAAAAAAAAGGGATCAGATTATATGATTTTATAGGTTCCTGATAATTGACTAAGCACCTCCTTTGTGCTGGGCACTTTACTAAGTATTTACATTGTTTCATTAATATGTATTATTATCCTCAGTTTTGCACATGAAGAAACAGAGGCTTGGGTTAAGTAGCTTGGCCAGGGTTACATAGCTAGTAAGTGGCAGAGCCTTTAGACTCCATTCATCCAGTGTTTCTAGTCATCAGTGGGAAATACGTGTAAGTCCTGATTTCTGTAGGAGGTGTAATAGGGTATATAATCATTCTGTATATGTTTAAGTCCTTCCATCATTAGGTGGATATGCTAACTTATTAATTGACCCAGATAGTGAGAACACAATTGGAAAAAATAGTTAGGTAATACTGGCTCCGTATCCTATTTATAGCTCTACTATAATACATGTGACTTCCTTCCATTCCTCCTCCTCAGCAAATCCCTTAGCATATTTGGTTTTTACTTTTCTCATGTTTAAAAAGTGGTGTTAACATTAGAATAAAGATTATCACATTAATATAATTGGAAAATATAAGTAAGAAACAAGATTATTAATATGTGCAAAAATAATTTAGCACCTGAAAGTAACATGAACAGTTACTTTCTATTTTGTACTTGTTTCTAAGTTACGCTGGCCTTTTTGCCTTACAGCTTTATAATTCTTCCAGAATGGACTATTTTGGAGGATTTTGTCTAGCCTTGGATATCTGATCCTCAGCTCTATGGGCTCAGAAATTCATTATCAGTTTACTTGGGCAGGATCAAGCTCAAATACCTTAAGATTGATATATAAGCTAGTATGTTAACTTATTAATTTGTGATGGGAAATGCCATTTTCCAGTGACCAGAATGTGTTTTGTCCGCTGTCTAGGGAACTCTCTCCAGTATCAAGGTATTTGGAATAACCAAACTGGTCATGAGAACGTTGCTTAGAGTCAGAGTTTTTAACATTTGGATGGTTTTGTGAGATATATCTTACAAGCTATGGTAGAATCTGGAAAATCATCCCCCCTTGTACTCTGGAGACCATAGCATTCTAGTTACTAGAATACTTATATCTACCAGATACTGTACTTTGTTTTCCTCCATGAAATAAAATTCAATTTAAAAAGATACATTTTCTTTAGCCATCCCTCATTTTTCATTATTCTCTTTTATCAGTAGGCAAAGCTTCTACCATTGTAGTATTTTTATTTATTTAGCAGACCAGTTTTTACAGTGATTTTAGATCAGTATTTTCTTATGAGTACTTGGGCAGCTATTAGACTCTTAGATCACACCCCAGTCTCATCCCCACAGCATTCACTGTTATTGTAAATTGCTTCTGCAGATAGCTTATCTGTCCATTTATATTAGTTTCTTTTAGTCTATACATCAGAGATTACAATTTTCTCACTTTGTCCACAAAATTGGAGCCTTAAAATATTAAAGGTATATAGCTATGTATGCATTGTTTGCAGTGTTATTGTGACATTATTAAATAAGTGCCATAAATACTTTTGCTGTTTAAAAAAAAGAAACCTTAAAATGGAGCAGACATAGGGCAAATTATTTACTGCCAAAGCATAACAAATATATTTAATCTTCCCATTTCTTTTAGCTTTCTCTATTAGAGCATTTCTATTCCCAGCCTCTCAGTGTTCTGTGCTGCAATCTCCCAGAAGCCAGGAGAAGAGTACATTTTTTATCAGCTAACCAGTGTGAAAACATCCGACGTCTTCCATCGTTTAGGAGGTAAAAGGAGAAGTACATATTTAACGCATCTTGTAGTAGAGTTTAGGGTAAAATAAGGGATCTCAGATCCAGGTATTTTTGAAGTGGGGAAAGGAAAAGTAACCTTCTTATTTTGTTCAGAGCAAAATAAAACCCTTCCGTTTTTAATCGTGAGATATCTTTGTTAGATGTGAAAATCTGGCATAAAGAAAAATATTTTTACAAGGGGACATAATTTGCAGGTTCTCTAGAGTTACTTTTTGTAAATAACATTTCCTATTTCTGGAGTTTATGGCCTTTGTTTGTGATTAGACCTTTAGACTATGAAGTACAGCTGATTTAAGGAGTTAAAAATTACCATTAAACCATGACTGTCATCTTGAATTTATTTTTGAGAAGAAATAAAAAATGTAGCCACCAGTCTAGGTAGTTCTTTTTCCTCTTATGCCATTCAAATATTTACAATGTCTAATTTTCTCTTTGTGTGTGGGATGGTAAAAATTTTAGG